ACTAGTCCATGGACTAGTAAATACTAGACTAGTATTTTTATGAAACAGGGCCCAGGGAGTATCGCATCCTCAGATCATGCCTATAAATATCCACAATTCGTGACCTCCTAGTAGCTGGATTACAGGACGACGCCAGTCTTTACGGCAACTTCCAACCATTTAACCTAAAACATCCATAGTATGTTCACATTCTTGTAATCTTTAGAGCCCCCGAACCTCAATGTCGACAAGGTATTAAAACCAAATTTCAAATTCACCTTAAGTGCGACATAACAATTCACAGATCGGTGATAAAAATACTGGGTCAATGGTCAATTACATTATTTTGCATCATCGAGTTTTTCATCAGATTGAAAGAGCCGGAGCGTCGACAAATAAGGAATAAAGGAGCAATAAATATTGGTGTGGAGCTGTTGACAAATTTTAAATGCTTTGGTTTCTTATACGGCGAGGCCTCCGTTTAATGTTGCAAGAGTGATTACAGTGTTATCGTGGTATCACTATGGATGGCGTTCCTCAGCAAGGACGTCTTGTTATCAGCGACCCAGGAAGACGTGTGGCCTTGAGGACAAGAGTACGCGGCGTCTTTGATGACTCGACATCCATCATTCTAACTGTCAGATCCTCCTTCAAACTTGGAATTAAAATTGTATCGTCTTAACTAGAAAAACGCAAACATCCTAATCAACTATGTAAATTTGAACCATTTTTCGTGATGGATTGGTCTCGTGACCGTCAAATTTGACAGATAAAGGCTTAAGTTATTTTATTTACGGTTGAAGGAATCTTGAACATTGAATAGTTAACAGAGTTTTTCCTTAAAAATATAAGGATATAAGGTGACTAGTGAACGTGAAGTATCCTGACGTTTCAAAGGAGTGCAAAATGTTGTACAGTACGACGCAACTTCAGTTACTGATGTTGGTGTAACATTATAAACACCCCTGCCCTTCAAATTGTTAGAATTACAGAATAGGAATTCACGCTAAATTTGATTGATTAATCCTGTATGATTTCAAAAAAAAATACTCCAAATCTTGACAACCAACGATACAATGTGAACCTGCAATTTTATAAATTGTATGTACTTAGATTATACAAGATTTCCTCAAACGATACCAACTAACCAATTCACTCATCTTAGAGGATTAGCCTATAATCAGAAGTCACCAAGCTAATCCTGAGTTTGGCCATCAGCATTTCGATGATTCAAAACTGGACCCAGCTATTAATCATTGGTGTTTAAATAAATGATCCTACCTGTAGAAACAGATGGTCGTATATAATAAGCCTGCAAAAGGCATCTCACCCAACCTACACTCATTTCCATTCATATTCAAGTAACATTGCGCCTAGTTGCGTTTCTGTCTCAACTAATGATAAAGTAATAGAAAGGTTGTGTATCACGTCATGTTACATGATAATAGTTTTCAGATTACATGAATAAAGTCAACAACCATATTAATTTAATTACTAAGTGTTATTGTAGTATTATTGTAATAGGCATAAAATAATTATTGTTTTTGCCATGAACCACATCATCCGTTTAATACACTGCAGACGTTTAGTTCTTACAATAAAGTGGTGTCCTCAATGGCAAGACTGAGTAGTTAGTACTCTTTTTGTAATCAGAAAGTTGCTGGTTTGAACCTGAGAGAAGTCAGAAGCATTTTGATGGTTTGTGACTGGACCCAGCTGTCGTTCATTTAGTAAATGGTCCTTAACCATCCAGTCTAAAGAAACGTTCAAAAAAAAAAATAAAAGAAAAGTTCTACGTTGGTTTTAGTTGAGGGTTCTTCCCGGCAGTCTGAATTTCAAATCAAGATGGCGGATTATATGGATTGACATATAGTTCGTGATTGAACATGCCTCTATTTTACAAGCTTTCAACGTTCTAAAACTAATTTGTTTCCAATGATTGTATGTCTTTTGTGCTCTTAACATACCAGTACTTGCAATGGATAGGGAAAATAAATGTTTAACTATTACTTCAGTATCCAATAGTCGATGCTATTATTTAGAAGTTAAAATTACATGTAAAAAATACTAATTTATGGATTTATCAAAATTATTTTGTAAATACTTAAAGATACAATTACGAAGTTTCAGTTAATCCATTGTGTAGTTTAAATCTTTATGAATATTTTACAGTTCATTTCAACTATTATAAACACTTAAATAATTCCACGAGGTTTTTTTTTGTAGGACCATGTTTACGTGGCATACAGCGGTGGGTGGAACCCTCTACATAAGACGACTCACTTCATTTACTCCCATTTGGGTAAAAATATGCCAATTTGTGTCCACATCTTAGTTATTAATATTTTAATCGTAATAATTTAAGGCTGAAAATTGTCCACGAGGAAAATAAGGATATATTCTGACACTGACCATGATATGCTTTTTATGAAAAATAAGTAGGTAGTATTATTCAAATTACACACACACCTGTACCGACCTTGGTCTGGTATGGTCTACTTCCAGCCTAGTCTCAATCGGCTTATGTTTCAGTCTTGGTTGCACCAAGGTTTACATTTCTTGTATATCAAGTGCACTTCCCATGGCTAGGTACCTTGAATATTGCTTGCCTTTCACTTTGCGAATTTCTTCTACCTTAAATTTACTATAATTTTGATTTTATTCAAAGTTAGACTTTATGACTTCAGTGAAGTATACATACAGATGGTCTGATTTGAATGTGAAGCCTCTGTCCTGGATGCATGAGAATCATTTCACTATCTCCAACAGACTTCTGATCTAGAAAAGAAAAACGATTACTGTACAGTACTGTAACATTACAGTATAATTACTGTACTGTAACAGTGACAGACGGATGACTCATTCGTGATGGAGACCTATCTTGCATTTCCTTCAGATCTCCAATCATAATCTTTCAGTGCGTCATAGGTCGGGGGAATCAAATTCAATGTATATTCTAAAATTTTACTTTGACCACCAATCATACATTATTCGGAACCTAAGTATTTGTTCCGTTCCCATCATCATGGGTTGCCGAGGGCTTTACTGCACTTTGAAGACTGTAAATTTAGGAAAAATTACCACCACAGCTTATCAATATTGGTTGGTAATAAATTCAATTTCTCTGTTACTTTTTTACTAAAACAATTATTGTTTGTACAAAACTGAAAAGAATTTACTCTCCGATACAAAGCCCATGCAATCAGTCCATGACAAAATAAATGGGAAACTGCTAGCTGAGCAGGCGCACAAGACGATTAGTGCCTTTGAAATTTCTTATCGCCTAACTTACTGAAGATTTACTTTCATGTAAAAATTAATTATTTACAACCCAAAATAAATACTGTTACACATGCAACTGCCTTCATTAACCTATCAACATCCACTTAAGTTTCAACCTGTAACTACACTCTGTCATGGCTGCAACGCATTAGCAAGCAAATGAAAGTGTGTGGAAATGACCCAAAGCTGTTAAGTTGATCTATTTCGTTAAAATGGGGAAGTATAAATTAAAGATCTATTCCGTTAAGCTGGTGAGTATAAATTAAAATTTGACAGAAAGCAGCACGCTGTATACGTTATAGTCCAATTTAAATAGCCAAGAATCCTAACGACCTTTCTAAAGTGAAGTTCATTCATCACTTCTTCAGGCGCCTAATATCCCCATTAGCCATTAGCCACTGGGAGAGACCGGGCTAATCTGTTACCCTCCCCCCGCTGTGTTTTGAAAAACTGTTTGATCTTATCTTACGTTTTGGAAGATTAATGTCAAGTATCTATGAAAATGGAGTAAACTAGCTAAGCTGGCCATTCTTCTCCTGTACATATCTATCTCAGCACTGATCCATAGATTTATAAAAGTAGTGTTATTTTCCCGGTCCAACAAGTCTCGAGAAAAATGTAAAATAATGATGAAATGTGGTTTTTACCCTGCAGAACCTAGCCTGAGACCGTAATTTATCCCGAGTTGAAGAGGATTTCGACTGTTATTGGTGTAATTACAAGTTGGATATTATTAAGAGTCAAATTACAAAAATTAACCTAACCACACATACCTGTTCAGCAATCATATCAAACCATTCCAAGAGACTGGAGACTCGTCAAGGAGAGCAGACAAATGGCATTCATTTTTGGACTGTATTAATATGCATTTGATGATCTCATATTACATACCAATGTTACATAAAAGACCATCATCGCCTATCAGCCATACTATAAATTGTGAACTATATCCAACTCGGTGAGTAAGTTATTAATCAGTATCCACTACTTGTGTGGAGGGATAATTTAATATCGATAATCGGTCAAATTGGTATTTGGAATCCGTTGTCAGGATTTGTAATTTGTAAGCTTTGAATATCAAAATCATTCCAAGAGGCTGAAGATTTACTAGGAAAAACAGTCAAAAGGCATTTATTTACTATGTGAATATCTAATCCATGGCCCAAAACTCCACAGCACTAATACCTACATGTAAGATCATCAACCATTCCCGATTTCCTAATTACTGAAATACTTTTATCCAACCCCGACAAAGTGAGTGATTCATCAGATCTTCCACTTGCATTGAAGGATAGTTTAGTTTTTGATGTTAGGTTATAGTGTTTTGAAGCTACTTCGAGGAATTGGAAGCTGTAATTAATCCATATCCAAACAATCTACCCAGCACAGTGTCATTAAGCAGCATCCACTACTTGCGTGGAAAGTTCACTCTACCTATATGGCCTGTCAGGTATCAGCTAGACGTTTCAAGGAATGGGAAGCTATTAGAATTGAATCATATCCAAACCAATCTAGACAAGTCTCATCAAGGATGTGTTGTTCTTCCGATAGGAATTTCCTCTCATAACGTTCCACGCCAACGCCCCGACACCCGCACGCATTACGCATTCCTACTACTAATTACATGGTTCGTTCACCGGTATGTGACGAGATAACGAGTACGATCAATGAGGTAACACGTGCGGAAGAGCTTCCGACTATATATCCTGGGGGCGGTGGAGGATGCAGCAGTAGCGATCATGAAGGCCGTGGTAGTGGTGGCTGTGGTGTGTGTGGTGTCTGTGGTAGGAGGTGTGGTGAACAGGCGGGACTTTGAACATCATCAACATCATGAGCACCGTGAACAAATCAAGGGTGAGTTCTGCATTATGCATGGTCAGTAATCATAGGTGACACAGTGGACAATTCTGAATCACTTGATGTCGAGTCTGTATTATGGTACGACCATAAACATGGTGATAGAATCAAGCATCGTCGATGTTCATGGCTATGCATTTCGTCTGAATACACTTATTTTTTATTTACAGTATATTACAGTACACAAAACATTTTAACTACGTCCATTAAAATAAGCTACTTGGCTATAGCCTTCAAATTGATTTGCTATATAATGGTTATCTAGTTAAGAAGTGTTCGAATTCAAGTCTATATTTCGAAAAAAAGTGTGAATGATACCGACGTACGTTTTACTGGAAAGTGGTCTGTCCGTAGTGATTCCGGAAGTAGCCTAATCAAAGCTTGCTGATGATTTAGGAGGTAGAGTAGATGTTAGGAAGTTGATGTACTCAAAACAGAGTACATGAAAGTGCTCTACTTTATCTAACTGCTCAAACTTGGGGGCTTCACTCTGAAGAGGATATTGAAATTTTTACTTTCACTAAATTTTCATGCATCATTGACAGTTTAAATGTATTTTTTTCTAGGTTACTTAAATATACAACTATTAAGTACGGAGAAACTGATATGACTATTAAGTGATTCAAATAGGTCTGCTCGTTGAGCATAACTACCAATTCGAAAATAGTCTTTAACAAGTTTTTAATCAACGTACAATTCTGTATTCATTTTAAGATCAAAATCCTCTTCAACAACTCATTCGAAAATACCAGTTATTTACTGAATCACAACTTTATTTCACAACTATTTCACAACTAAGTGAAATACCGTTGGACTTACCAAAACCCCCGCCGCAGCATACCTGCAAGCTAAGCGAATTTCCATTTGCCTGATTGGATTTACACTATGATATCTCCTTAAAACTATCACATTTATTCTTTATATAGCCTTAGTTTAACAAGTACCGTGCTTACGTTTGTTGCAACAGGGAGGGTAAACATATTTTATTTAATTTTTTATGTTAATAGTTTAGTATGAAATAAATGCAATTTCCAAATTTGATATAAATATGTTCATAAACAAGTAAACTACAACCGTTTACTCATTTTCCATAAGAATAACATGGGAATTTTGAATTTACAATATTTTGTAATTTTCTCCGTAATATACTAAATTATTTGTTTTTTGAGCCCTACAAAATTGTTTGGAAAGAAATTGCTATACATATGTTTGGTTTTTAGGGTCAAAAATGGGAAAAACAAATATTCACCCCATAAACCACCGTTTCCATAGTCCGATCATGCTGGTTTGCGAACTCGTTTGAGTAAATGTGGGTAAAAAATGTCATCAAAATCGGATCATGTTTGCTCGAGTTATCGTGCTATCAGACACACATATATATAAATAAATATTTATATATAAATGTGAATTTGAACGGATTGTGTTTTTGGGCTCTAGGGACCTCAAATCGAAAAAGTAAATCAGTTCCGGGTCCAGGTCTCCCCATAAGTACTACGGTACAGTACGGAGGTAGGGAAAAGACCGGACCTAAAACATTTCCACTGCCTCACGGGGTTGACTTCCCTTGCATTGTACTTGATATAGGTTGCGAGGACAGTTGATGCAACCCGCATGGCGGGACATAATGTTTTTGAAATAGGTTCTAGTAGCGATAGGCCAAGTGCCAGCTTAGATGTCACGAGCTGTAATAGCTTATTCTCTACATGGGAAATTCGCTAATAAAACCAGCGAACCGTTCCGACTATTGAGTATATTTTCTTGATGGGATGTTGATGACGATGATTTATAATAAATTAAGTGCACGCAATGAAACCCAAAGTCTCATCAGAAATCATGCGGATACGCTATAATCAGTTTTCGACCACGGGTTACAGGTTAAGGTAGTTTACAAGATGAAAATATCCAGAATCTATATTTTAACAACCGTGGAAAGGTTATTTCTATTATATACAGGATGTTCAGATTTGACTTAAGAATCTTAAAAGGGTTGTTTCGTAAAAAGGAGGGAGGTTAGTACAATTTAAAAATGGTAAATAAAATGTGTTCATTCACTATTGCAATGATTTGTGTGTGATAAATTGTATTTTTACATGACATGTTATCATTAAGAACATGAGAACACGGATAAGACGTTGAAACTATTCTTAACACTGTAGCTCAATATCACTGTACTTTCCCATGTCGGATACAAGTTAAAACTAAAGCTTTAACGATCATTCACTGGTGCCCACCCGGCTAACAATGCAATTTACTTCCCTCCATCGTCAGCTAAATCCTTGATAAATTAAGTTAGTAAGTTATCGTCAATGCAAGCTCACTTTGAATCGACACATTTGATAACTTGTTTTATGATAGAACAACTAGCCTGGCTCTAGGTGTAATCATCAATGATGAAAAGTGGACCAGATCTCGTATAAATCACATGGAATATCGTCACGTTGAGGGCAACTTCTATCATGTTTAAGTACGAAATTTCCTCTTATCGTACTCATTGTGTTTTTTAGGTTTCCCATATATAATTTAACTAATAAACTTATCTAAAAATGTGTGATTCTTAAAACAGTAAAATAACTCAAATCAATGCAATTTTATCTAATATAGTGCATTTTCTTTCAGGTATAACCATCGAAAAACAAGTCAAAGTCCCGGTGCCCTACACAGTCACCAAGGAGATTCCTTATCCAGTCAAGGTGTTAGTAGAGCGACCAGTTCCATACCCGGTGCACCACCCCTACCCCGTGGAGTACAAGAGGTTAGTCCACTACCCCGTCAAGGAGTACATCCCCGCGCCCTACCCTGTCTACAAGAAGCTGCACTACCCCGTCAAATACCACGTGGTTCGACCCTACCCAGTCCATGTGTATAAACACTACCCCGTCCTGGTGGAGAAGAAGGTACCTTACCCCGTGGTCAAACACATCGGCTACCCTGTCAACGTCCCCGTGGAACATCCGGTCCCAGTGCGAGTTCCGGTAGTGAAGCATGTTCCGTATCCGGTCGAGAAGAAAGTGCATTACGCAGTCAAGGTGCCTGTAGAGAAGAAGGTACCTTACGTCGTGGAGAAGCCCTATCCTGTATTGATAGAGAAGAAAGTGCCTTACCCGGTAGTGAAGGAGGTGCCTTATCCAGTCAAGGAGTATGTCCCTGTACATGAAGAGAGCGAAGGCTTGTCCAAGTATCATAGTCAGTACAGGTGATTGTCGAGGTTAATGATGTGTACAAATGTAAAGTATTGTAATAAATGTGTAAATACTCGTACTTCGTATTTTTATCTGCCTTTTACGAGTATTATTTTTAATACATACTTAGTAGCTCAAATAGAGGTAAATTCTGAAAGAAGGCCATTTACTGAGTTCTCTTTGACTAATAAAAATACTTTCTGATAGATCAACGGCTTTTAGCAATATGACAATGACGTGTGTTGTATCTGAGCTCACCTGAAGCTGTACGCCCTTCTTTTGAGAAAAATTAAAGTATTGGGTTCTCAGCCGAAAAGAACTTTCTTGTCTGAGCATTTGGAAACACCTCTGCTAAACATCAAACGTAGTTCATTTTACAATTTAATTCCCATCCTCGCAGAAAATGTTAAAACATAAACTAAATTCTTCAAGAAAAATTTACCTATCTTTGAAAAAGTTGCGTTGTAACCGATATTTAAGTTTATTTCATACAAAATCCACTCTAAACAATCACATCTTTCCCTCCGCAATCTCAACCAGGTTAAACATCGAAGTGAAACTGGATTAACTCAGCCAGATACAATCTGCGGTCACTTTAGCACGGGAGGTAATAAACACCATTAAACAGAACTAAACGCCATTGACGTGGCCGAAACATGCGATTTACACACAATGTCGGCGGAGTTTACATAAGTCAGCTGACTGGACTGTGATCAGCTGATACTGTGAGGCAGTGCCTCGTTAGAAGCAAGTGTGCACATTAATTAACAACTCCACCACTCCAGTACTCCAGTAATGAGAGCCTGCTCTGCTCCCTCGAATTGATTACTTTTCATTAAGTCTAATAACCCCCGACCGAGCGCCTAAGTTAATAGAATACTTGTCCCTGTCTGTTTAAAACGATTGTATCAGCTTTGGATGGGACAGCGAAATAATTTGATACCGTTTGTGCGTAAGTGGTCATTTTTGACTAATTTGGCCAGCTGAGGGTTTGACGGACTGTCTTAAGCTGTTGGGGATAAACCAAACCAACTGCAACATCACCCTCTTTAAAAGACAAGCTGGGTAAAAGAAATATTTAAATGGAATAAAATTTAATTGATCGCACAATTTAAAAGGTATCAGGTAAGTAAGCGTGCCTCTTGGGAAAAAATGCTATTTGCACTTTTATATTTCATGAATGAATGATATGTAATAGAGATGTAACCTCCGAATTTACATTTGTAGGCACTTTTATGACTAAAATGGTCCGTAGAACAGCTCTTCCTTTATCTTAGGTTTAGTTCAAAAAATTATGATTTATTCCTTTAATTTAATTTTTGAACCAATATTCTGCAAATACACCGTTTTCGTTAGTTAATTTCAAACTGACAGCTCCACGGCTCAAAAAACATTCCTCCGTGCGCACTTACAAACGGTTGACCTGCCAATATCCAATAGATACCTCCGCAACTGGGGACTTCTGCGGAGAGCGCTTCTTGAAATTGCGGTGCAACAAAATTCCTTCGTGTTTTTCAGTTGATAACTTAATAGCTGCAGACGGTATTCCCGGTCGACGCTTGTCTTCCCATAGTAATTGAATAATGGCCGTTGTACTGTTTTTGCCGCCACTTGCAGATTCCTGTAGCGTGTTCCCAGGAAGGTCAGATCAGATGACAAATTTGCGACTAGGCCAATCTAATCTGCATACCTCCGTGTCATTTCAGACTGCGATCGCGTCTTAGCGGACAAGTTGTATTACCTCTATGAGTGCTATGTTTCTGCCTTCGTTCCTAGAGCATTTGCATCGTTACTCTACATTCTTGTGGTAAATCAAAGGTCAATCGTGTCGTGTATATCTTTGAGATTTAATTGCGATTAAACCATCATATTCTTTAAGCAAACTTATACGCTTAAGAAACCATTACGACGTATATTTTGGTGCGTGTTTTATGTCGACTAAATATTTCTTCCTCATTTTAGTGAGAACTTTTCAGTTTGCGATTTACTTGATTCTTTGGTGCTATTTCGAGGTAAATTAAATAAATCGGTTGAAAATAAATCGTTCTATTTGATAAAATATTATAAATCAAGAAATCTGAATGCAATGTAAAATTAAGTGGTAGACACGTGTGACGTAATTGAGGAAATGCGTTAATTTGTATTCCCTCACAATAAAATAGGTAATGGAAACTATTTAATTTCCTATAACCAAGATGGATATCAACACTTATTCTAGAATACTAATACTTGCAACTAATACTAATACTTTAGCAACATAAAAACTATTCTCACTGCGGTCTTACCGCTTTGAGAAGCACAGTAAAACTACTGGTTCAGTGTAATGTTTCCTGCAATACACTTAAAAACAGATTGATCATGCTTTTTGCTTCTCATAAAACCTAAGATTTGTCAGCTCGATTTACGCCCAACCTTTTCCTCCACAGTTCTTCTCGACATCCCACTTTTTCAACTGTAGATACCGAACGTATTCTTCAAGATATCGATAAATTATTGGTTTTATCTCGTTGCGAGTAAACTTAGATACATAAAAGATGTTGAAACTCATAGGGAATGTGCAAGGCGATAAAACACGGATAAACAAGGCAAGAAACAGTTTGAATCGATGGAAAAACGCGAGCAGAGCCTCAACGGTTGGTGGCGCCAGTTTTTGCTGGGATCTCTGTACTCGACCATTGTCCAAAAGAAATCTGTTTTGCCTGATACTGTAAGTAGGTATGTTTGAAGGTAAGTTGCATCAGGTTTCGTCCCATCAAAGAACGTTAGTGACAGGTATTTAAAGAATTTATTTTTTTTTTTTTACCCCCCATCCAAGAAAAACACTCAAATTTTTGAGGATCTGAACCCTTCTGCACCAAAGTCCAAGTGGGTCACACTTGGAGCCACATATTCTTAATACTGACCTAAATAAGGACAAGAATTAAATTGTTTTACATCCAAAAGTTGATTATTAAAATATTATTTAAATATTATATCATATCAAATCAGACATCTAGTTCATATTTTAAGGAATACCACTGATATGTGTTCAATGACCACGATTATAGTTTTGAGATGTATATACTGGAAGTACGACACTTTTAAATGTTCTGTTAGAGTGGTCCGAACGGCACTGGCTTAGAAAATATTAGAAGAACTTCTTATTGAGTTAGTTCCTGTTGAAAGTGTAGGTTTATTGAAAAAATATTAACTGAAGCAGTACGTTTTTATTGATAGTCTACAGAAATTAAGACATGGTTTTGATCAATAAAACAGTTAATTATCCCAATTCGTCCACATTTTTTGAGCTGATTTCCTTTTTATAGACATTTTATCGGGTTCAAAATTATCTTTTTCTAGCCGGTTAGGCCACGTTTGAATAAAATATTAAAGATTTAATCCCACATTTCGTCTGAAGATTTTAATCGAGTTTAAATTTAGTAGAGAACCGTCTAGAGATGTATAGGCTCGTAATTTAATTTTCACACTCCCGTATCACTCTGGAGGAATCCAAAGATCGCAGTTTACGATTCTCCCGCAGAATGCCGCGCAATTTGTCGATCTAAGACAGGTGTCCGATCGACTGACAATCGATTATTGTGCTTTTCGCCAACCGCTTTGCCCTTCAAGTTTTTTCAGTCTTTCACGTTTCAAGAGTTTCTGGGAAATCTTTTACAACGCAAGAATTGTCAGGGTTAATTGTTTTTCCATCGGCAATATGATTTATTATTTTGATACATTCTGGTTCTGAAATTCTATTTAAACATAACGGTACCTTAACACTATTTATATTGCGGTTTTTACTAATCATACTGTTATGACAAATGCAAAAATAAATACATTGGTTTTTACATAGCTGAATTACAATTTTTTATTTGATTTTACCAAACGATTAGTTTATTCTTTAACTGTTGCATAAAATAATATCATACTTAAAGTTTACAAAAATAATTCTGAAAGTCCCTTGTGGAATTTTTACTTACTTTATAGATGAAAATAGATGAAGAACTAACTGACTATAGATGATGTGTAGGAACATATACGACAATCATTATCCGAAGAACGTGTAGAACTTTGAATTAGTAACTTCTAATCACTTTTTCCTATCGATTTTAACGAGATCGATTGATGAATATCGATGAACTTAAAATTGGATGTTGTTCCACGGATCACCGTTCATCAACGCTATCGTTCAGAAAGGCTTGAATATATATCTCCAAATCTCAAATTTTACGAAGTTTAGTGCATTTTTCAAGGGTGTGGTTTTATTTGCTATCCTCACAAGATAAATTGCACTGCCTACAAATTTTACGCAACTATTTTTCCCATCAATGAATTCATATTTTTTATTTCGAGATTCGGGGCGAAATTAAATCTTTGTATCCAAATTTAAAAATAAATATAAATCAGGTACACCATGAATAATGAATAATAAGAACGACCATAGTAAAAACACTAGTTCCAGTCCTAAAATTTCATATGAATAAAGTGTTTATCAAATCATGATACCAAACCAAACCTCGTAATTTATTACATCCCGAACTTCCGAAAATGTCTCTCCAAATACGTGAAGATCGAACAAAATCACCACATTATTTGATTAATTCCTTCCACCCTCTTTTTCACCAACAGACCTCCAGACTCCCACAACAAACAGAATCATCGACTTACTCCTCACTTCCTTGCAGGTGGTGATTGTATCGCAAACAGCCTAGCAGCCAAGCAGCCTAGCAGCCTAGCAGCCCCTCCCCGAGTCTCCCGCGGGCGACATTTTCGCACAGCGTTAACAAGACGGATGAGCTCATCTTGTCCCTCATCATATAATCTACGTCGAGATTGCCACAGATCGACTGTCATTAGACCGACTGCTACTCGATATAATGATAAGCTCTGTCCAATCAGTGATTACCCTCCGACTGCCCAAAGTTGTACTTATCAGTCCACCCTGTAATTTTCACTTCTAGATTCCTCTTTGAATTTGGGAAAGAGGGCATTTTCCTATTCATTATGCACAAAGGCGTTTTGACTTTTCATTAACGTAGTTGTTAGCCCGTATCATGAAGGGTTTGGAGATGTCTCTAGGACATTTGGTTAACCCGT